CGGGCGGAGGAAGCGGCGCATCACCCTGCTGACGCACAGCTGCAGGCGCAGCAGCGTCATCAACCGGCCCATCACCTTGCCAGCGCATAGCCGCGGGCGCGGCAGCGTGAGCAGAGGCCGATTGTGGTGGCTCATCGACCGGCCGGGCTCGCAGGCCCTCGATGAGACGCGCAAGGGTGGCGACAGCCGCGGGGCCGACCAAAAGGGTGAGCAGCGCCTCCTGCAGCGGTGCCGCGATGTAGTGGCCCTCGGGCGCTACGGCAATCACACGGACTAATTCGGCCAGGGACGTGACGTTTCCGGCCTGCGCTGCGGCCCAGGCCCGGAACCGCATAACCGAGGGCGAGTGCAGAACCGGCGGCGCGAAAGCTTGGGCGACATGCTCGACAGCTGCGGATAACTCGTGCACGGGGATGAAAGCCCGTGCCCGCAAAGCCTGGACGGCGGCATCCCACCACTCGTTGATGGGAGCGCGCGAGCGCCAGTCCCGCTGCGCCTCTGCCGAGAGCATGCCTGCGGCGTCGAGCAGCAAAGGAACGTACAGGGCGGAGTTGGTGCCGTCCCGCAAAGGCAAAGCTGGAGGGCCCAGAGTTGTGAACTGGGTTGGCGCAGGCACCGGCGCATGCAGAGCGTTGTGCACGCCAGGGTCGGCCGCGGGCAAGGCGGGGGGTGCGTGGGTTGGGAGGTCGGGCGAGCGGCATGGTGGGACGGGCCTCAGCGCCAGTGGTCTGCCAGAGTGCGCAAAAGGGCAGCGGCTGCAGGCCCACCTTTCTTGTCGTCTCGCGCAGTCGACCTCCCAGAGCATCGGCGTCAAACATACAGGGCATGAGGGGGTTGGATCCGGGACGCAAATGCGCTCCAGCCGCAGCTCGTTCTGGCACCGCATGCACATCCATTGTGGCAGCCAAGCCTCGATGCCTTCGGTGCCTCGGCGCGGCAGCGGGGTCCAATGCATGCGGGTGTCGGGCAGCTCTGCGAAGTCGAGCGCCGGCCCTGCGAGGCGATTGCAGCATGCAGCCCTGATGTGAATCGGCTCACGCGGCTCGACCGCATCTGCCCGCGAGAAGGTCCGCATCGCGTAGTCGCGCACAACGGCAACGGCTGTGTCGGGTGCCGAAATGTTCGCGGCATGCATGTTGATCCCCAGCGCTTGGCATCGCGCAGCGATTCCAGGCTCCCGCGGGAGGTGGTCGATGGCAGCTCGGCAGTTGGGGCATGTACCGTGCAGTTGCGCGCAGCGCACGAGGCAGGAGAGATGTGTGAAAGCATTGCAACACGGGAACGCCGTGTCCTCGGCTTCGGGCTCCGACGAAGATCGGCTTGACCCTGCCGGAGCTGCGAGCGTGAGTTCCAACAGCCGCCGACCTCCGATCCTAGTTAGCACGACAAGCTGCTGTGGCCCGCCATGGCTGAGTTCCGGGGTCAATGAGCAACAATAAGCCGACTTGCGACCCGGAGCATGTCATCGTCGTGTTGCCCTGTTCGTGTGAAAGGGGAAGACTATAGGCTGCGTCGCAACACAACGCACCCAACACGAATTCGAGCCGTCGGCGGTCAGACGGCACGCCCAGCGCCGTGGTCCACTGCTGGGGGACGACATACCCTTCAACCCCCAGGGCCAGCATGGGCCAGCAACCCTGGCCGCCGGGTGAGATGTCTGCTCCTGGGTGAGGAAGCATTTTTGCCACGGGCCCTTTGACATCTCCTCGCGACAGCCAAATAAAAAAGGGTCTGTGTCCTACAGCACCGTGGGGCAAGCTTGTCCCAGCGCGCATCAGCAAGGACCTCATGCGGCTCCGGCAAGGGTCCGTCGCAAAGGACCCATGCGGGAACGCTGGGTAGCGAAGGCCAGGAGCCCAGACCAGCGCGCGGCAGTGATCGCGGCTGGTCTGGAGGCGGCTTTGTGCCGTGCGAGCCAGTGCAAAGCCAGCGCAGGAGCTGCGCCGCCTCAGCGCCAAACCAGCCATCGACCTCAATGCCATGGCATGAAAGCGCACGACAACAGCCATTCCCCATGTAGACGCTCGATTTCACAAGCACCCACTCAACACAAACAGCATATAATGTCGTAAGAAAATCTATTCAACCCGCTTTTGCTCTTAAAGCTTGTTCAACCCTTGTTTTGTTTTACCTAACCTACTGCAACGTGTATTTACTGTATTTCTCTACAAACCTGTTCGACACCGTAATTGCCCAGAAAACCTGTTCGATCCTGTTCGGCTCTGTATTTGTCTGCAGCACCTACTCAAGCCTGTATTCGTACTCGGCGGGAATCAAGCTGATCGAGACCCCCTCCGTAAAAGCAACTCGTTTACGAGGAAGACAGGCTGCCTGCCATCTCAAGTTTTTCAAGCTGTCCGACTTTGCTTTTTTGAAGCAGGCATGGCAATACGAACAGGGACTCTGAAGCCCGGCACATGTGTCATTGTGGGCACTCGGTGATGCGACCCCTGCGGGTGCTTTCCCCCAGTGTGGGGTGGGATCCAAAAGACATGATGCGACTCAGCTGTATCACTGTAGACGCTCGGTGGATGCGACCCCTGCGGGTGCTCCCCCCAAGCGTGGGCTTCCCCCGAGTGCGGGGTGGGACCGAAAAAGCCATGATGCGACGTAGCTGTGTCGTTGTAGACACTCGGTGATGCGATCCTCGCGGGTGCCTCCCACCACTGTGGGGTGGAATCCAAAAGACATGATGCGACTTAGCTGTGTCGCTGTACCGATTGCTGGGACTTGTTCAGAATGGCGTCCCCCAGTGTCCACGCACAAAGGGATGACGTCACACGGCGCGGCACGACGTGACAGAACCCTCAGTAGCTAGGAACCGTGGCTGCGCACGACGACTTCGATGCGCCGCGCACCGCCACGTCGAGCTTCATGTCGGTGATTGGACGTTGCGAGCGACCCAAGCGCCAGTGGCGTATCTTTGCGGTGGTCGCGACAGCATGCGACTGCTGCACCTGCACGGCGCCAGCGGCAGCGGCGGCGGCGCAACAGGAAGACGCGAAACAGGGTGCTGGGTACGGTGACGTCATCCCGCGGGGGGCGTGACGTTGAAAACACGGGCGGCGAAAGGCCCAGCTTGGGACAGCAGCAGCGCACGAGACGCAAGTGTTCAGGTCACAACAGCGCATCTCGTAAGGAAGCCCAGCACGCGATAGCGGGGAAACGATGCTACCAGGCACAGACATGGTCTGGTGTGCCTGTGGGGTTGCCCTTTTTGCCATGGGGTGCCCAGTGCGATAAATCAAACCGCAGGGCCAAGGTCTGTTTGGCAAATATGGCGAAGGAGGCGTCGCCGATTTACCAGGCATACATGACATTTCGGTTCCTGCCACACGAGCGCGTGAAGATGTGTAAACTTTGCAGCAATGTTCTATTGCAACTAACGACAGGCCTGTCCGAAAACGACCGTGGGTCACGGTTAGAGAGCAACCACTACAAGCATGCTGGTTCGTCACCAAACACCAGGGCAAAAAAACAACCAAACCAAACAAAAACAAAGTCCCAAACCATGCATGCAATGAAATCATCAGTGGCACGCGCAAACCGGTTCAATCAGTCACATACACAAAGGAAAATTTTTTTTTTCACGGACCTTTTTCC